TTAGTTTTTTTTTATGTTTGAATTTATTACTAGCTTATTACTTACCACCCATTCTGAAACTGACGGCAGCTCTTTGTTAAGAGTTGCAGTGATTTCACTTGCTGTGGTAGCTGACGTGTATAGTGTTGAGTCATCAGCGTACATAGACACACAGGCTTTACTCATTGCCAGTAGCAGGTCATTAGCGAAGATTGAAAAAAGTACGGTTGTGTAGATCTTTAGGAAATAAAATGTATTTAATTTTAAGTCAGCAACATTTTAAAAAAGTTCAAGGGGGTGTAGACGTTCTATAGGCACTCTAAAACAAGCTCATATCATGGCTTCTGATGTGGTACGACAGTTGGACTAAGCTCATGATGCATTTCCATTATATTCTTTAACAATCAATGGCAATTTATCATTCATTTCAAAGTCCCCCCCCAAAAAAATGTATATACCAATCACAGAATATAGCGTTAAAGCCCTCACTTTTACTATGTTCACAGCAGAAATATTTATCTTATAGTTATTTATATCTCTGGGAAAAGAGCGAACAAAAAGGAACTGACTTTCAAACTACCAGTTGCCTTATCGCCCATTTTATGTGACGGTAAACATCCTTTAGAATATCTAATGTGGGGTACACCATATTAATATCACATTTCCTGATTGGAAATCTTATAAGTGAGGGACACACTGAGTGTACAAAACATCGGGTTCTTGGTCACCTCCCTGACCAAGGCTCTTCTCCCCCGATTGCTCAGTTTGGCCGGGCGGCCAGGTCTGGGAAGAGTCTTGGTGGTTCCAAACGTTTCCCTTTTATGAATAATGGAGGCCACTGTGTTCTTGGGGACCTTCAACGCTGCAGAAATGTTTTGGTACCCTTCCCCAGATCTGTGCCTCGACACAATCCTGTCTCGGAACTCTATGGACAATTCCTTTGACCTCATGGCTTGGTTTTTGCTCTGACATGCACTGTCAACTGTGGGACCTTTATATAGACAGGTGTGTGCCTTTCCAAATCATGTCCAATCAATTGAATTTACCACAGGTGGACTCCAATCAAGTTGTAGAAACATCAAGGATGATCAACGGAAACAGGATGCACCTGAGCTCAATTTCTAGTCTCATAGCAAAGGGTCTGAATACTTATTTGCAAACATTTCTAAAAACCTGTGTTCACCTTGTCATTATGGGGTATTGTGTGTAGATTGATGAAGAACATGTTTTTATTTAATCCATTTTAGAATAAGGCTGTAACGTAACAAAATGTGGAAAAGGTCAAGGGGTCTGAATACTTTCCGAATGCACTGTATATCTTGATTAGATAATTATTCAACCCCCTGAGTCAATACATGTTAGAAACACCTTTGGCAGCGATTACAGATGTGAGTCTTTTTGGGTAAGTCTCTTCAAGCTCTGTCAAGTTGGTTGTTGATCATTGCTAGACAGCCACTTTCAAGTCTTGCCATAGATTTTCATGATGATTTAAGTCAACACTGTAACTAGGCCACTGAGGAACATTCAATGTCATCTTGGTAAGCAACTCCAGTGTAGATTTGGCCTTGTGTTTTAGGTTATTGTCCTGCTGAAAGATGAATTCGTCTTCCAGTGTTTGTTGGAAAGCAGACTGAAGCAGGTTTTTTAAAATCTATAATTGTTTCCTTTTTATCCTAAATAACGCCCTAGTCCTTTCCAATGACAAGTATACCCATACCCAGTGTTACTCAGTGATGTGTTGCGTTGGATTTTTTTGCATTATTACTTAGTGCCTTATTGCAAACAGAATGCATGTTTTGGAATATTTGTATTCTGTACAGGCTTCCTTCTTTTCAATCTGTCATTAAGGTTAGTATTATGGAGTAACTACCATGTTGTTGATCCATCCTTCCTCTCTGGCAACGGAGTTAGGAAGGACGCCTGTATCTTTGTGACTGGGTGTATTGATACGCCATTCATAGCCTAATTAATAACTTCACCAAAGGGATATTTATTTTTACAAAGGGATATATACAGTGAGGGAAAAAAGTATTTGATCCCCTGCTGATTTTGTACGTTTGCCCACTGACAAAGAAATGATCAGTCTATAATTTTAATGGTAGGTTTATTTGAACAGTGAGAGACAGAATAACAAATAGAAAATCCTGAAAAACGCATGTCAAAAATGTTATAAATTGATTTGCATTTTAATGAGGGAAATAAGTATTTGACCCCTCTGCAAAACATGACTTAGTACTTGGTGCCAAAACCCTTGTTGGCAATCACAGAGGTCAGACGTTTCTTGTAGTTGGCCACCAGGTTTGCACACATCTCAGGAGGGATTTTGTCCCACTCCTCTTTGCAGATCTTCTCCAAGTCATTAAGGTTTCGAGGCTGACGTTTGGCAACTCGAACCTTCAGCTCCCTCCACAGATTTTCTATGGGATTAAGGTCTGGAGACTGGCTAGGCCACTCCAGGACCTTAATGTGCTTCTTCTTGAGCCACTCCTTTGTTGCCTTGGCCGTGTGTTTTGGGTCATTGTCATGCTGGAATACCCATCCACGACCCATTTTCAATGCCCTGGCTGAGGGAAGGAGGTTCTCACCCAAGATTTGACGGTACATGGCCCCGTCCATCGTCCCTTTGATGCAATGAAGTTGTCCTGTCCCCTTAGCAGAAAAACACCCCCAAAGCATAATGTTTCCACCTCCATGTTTGATGGTGGGGATGGTGTTCTTGGGGTCATAGGCAGCATTCCTCCTCCTCCAAACACGGCGAGTTGAGTTGAAGGCAAAGAGCTCCATTTTGGTCTCATCTGACCACAACACTTTCACCCAGTTCTCCTCTGAATCATTCAGATGTACATTGGCAAACTTCAGACAGGCATGTATATGTGCTTTCTTGAGCAGGGGGACCTTGCGGGCGCTGCAGGATTTCAGTCCTTCATGGCGTAGTGTGTTACCAATTGTTTTCTTGGTGACTATGGTCCCAGCTGCCTTGAGATAATTGATAATATCCTCCCGTGTAGTTCTGGGCTGATTCCTCACCGTTCTCATGATCATTGCAACTCCACGAGGTGAGATCTTGCATGGAGCCCCAGGCCGAGGGAGATTGACAGGTCTTTTGTGTTTCTTCCATTTGCGAATAATCGCACCAACTGTTCTCACCTTCTCACCAAGCTGCTTGGCGATGGTCTTGTAGCCCATTCCAGCCTTGTGTAGGACTTCAATCTTGTCCATGACATCCTTGGAGAGCTCTTTGGTCTTGGCCATGGTGGAGAGTTTGGAATCTGATTGATTGATTGTTTCTGTAGACAGGTGTCTTTTATACAGGTAACAAGCTGAGATTAGGAGCACTCCCTTTAAGAGTGTGCTCCTAATCTCAGCTCGTTACCTGTATAAAAGACACCTGGGAGCCAGAAATCTTTCTGACTGAAAGGGGGTCAAATACTTATTTCCCTCATTAAAATGCAAATCAATTTATAACATTTTTGACATGCGTTTTTCAGGATTTTCTATTTGTTATTCTGTCTCTCACTGTTCAAATAAACCTACCATTAAAATTATAGACTGATCATTTCTTTGTCAGTGGGCAAACGTACAAAATCAGCAGGGGATCAAATACTTTTTTTCCTCACTGTATATACATATTTTTACACATTTACCAATCTGTGCCCTTCTTTGCAAGGCATTGGAAAAACTTCCTGGGTTTGTGATTGAATCTGTGTTTGAAATTCACTAATTGATTGAGGGACATTACAGATAATTGTATGTGTGGGGTACAGAGATGAGGTATTCATTCAAAAATCACTATTATTTAACACAGCATGAGGTCATGCAACTTATGTGATTTGTTAAGCACATTTTCACTCCTGAAATGATTAAGGCTTGCCATAACAAAGGTGTTGAATACTTATTGACTCAAGACATTTCAACGTTTCATTTTTAATTTGTTCAAGAAAATACACAAAAATAATCAACTTTAACATCATGGTTTATTGTGTGTAGACCAGGCTGTAACACAACAACATGTGGAAATAGTAAAAGGGTGTGGATACTTTCTGAAGGCACTGTACAAAAACGCTTTCTGCTAAACATAGAAACCGGTGGTTTAGCATCCGAGTCGATAGTTGTTAGGACTGCTGCTCTTCGAGACGAGCACAGGAAATTACACAACCCGAGTTTCTGAAGAACTTCAGAAGTCTCACAAAACCATGTGAGGATGACATTTTTAAAAAACAAAATCATGAAAATAAGACCATGTACATATTGTATTATATTTTGCAAGTCAACAAATGCTCTTCTAGCCAAATCATGCATCTAAAAAAAGTAAGCTTGTGTAATTGATTATAGTGAGGTAATAAACAATGGAGGCTAAACATACAGATCTTCATTTCGACCATTCATGCACGTACACACTTCCTCTAAAACGAGGTCAGAAAGGGACTTGATCTCTCCTGGATAGACAGACTGAAGAAAAACACCCAATCAATTAATCAATCAATCAAAGATTATTACATACAGAGAGAGAGAGAGATGGGGGAGAGAGGGTGGGAGAGACAGATGGGGCAGAGAGAGAGAGGTGGGGGAGAGGGTGGGAGAGAGGGATGGGGCAGAGAGAGAGAGCGAGAGAGCGAGAGAGAGAGAGAGGTGTAGGGAAGAGATGGTGAGAGGGGGTGGGGGACGAGCAAGAGAGAGCGAGAGAGATAGAGAGAGAGGGGGGGGGGGGGTGTAGGGAAGAGATGGTGAGAGGGGGTGGGGGAAGAGAGAGAAGATCGAGTACAACTGGTTATAAAACCACAAGGTGTATAATGTTTAGGACTACAAACATGAGTTTCAGACATTGAATCAGGAAACAGAGAGTGAGTGAGAAAACAAACAGACGGACAGACAGATGTACAGACAGACGGACAGAACCAGAGGTTGACATAGCAGTGGAGGATCTCCTGTCCATGAGAGATGTCTCTGGATGCTCAGACAGAGACAGATGCTCCATCTGACAAGGAGACAGGAGCAGAACAGGACCAGTAGAAACCAGTTAATCAGTAGAGGTCTGGTTGAGGTGAGTCCAAGTGAGCAGTTCTGAGAGTGACGCTGGTTTTGGGGCTGCAGGAGTGGTTCAGAACCCTCAGCGTGGGAAATATCGCCGTGGCAATGCACGCTTCCTGGCTGGACTGCACCACAGGAAAGTCACCTGTAAAATAATGGAATGGTCAAAAGGTCATTATAAGGTCACACAGGAAGTCTTCTATCTTCCAAATGGCACCCTATTCCCTACATTGTGAACTACTGTTGACCAGCGCCCTATGGGCCCCTATCAAAGTAGTGCACTATATAGGGAATAGGGTGCCATTTGGAACACACTGATAAGTATGATAAAGAACTAATTCGGATCAACAAAAAAAAAAAACTCACCTGTATCTCTGAGCAGGCTCACTGCCTGGGCGTTACACTGCAGCTTCAGCATGTGTCTCAGAACTACACTTCCCAGCAGGCTTAGCTCCAGACGCCATTTCTCTTTCTCATCCTCCTCCTGGCCTTGCGATTGGTTGTTGTACTTCCTGCTTACACAGGCTCTTCCCCTCTCCCAGGACGCAGGTGGAGGTCTGGCCTGGCGAAGGCACAGGTAAAGCGTTGCTATGGTGATGGAGCACAGGTAGCACAGGCTGGGGGCGTGCCCACTCAGATGACGCAGCAGGTGGTAGACGCTCAGGTAGGAGTCGCCATGGTAACACGCAGTGGGATGGACAATGTTGTCCAAGGCTCTAGTGGTATTACTGGACCCATAATCCTTCTCCTTTGGGCTGATCTTTTCTGTGATTAGTCCCAAGAATGCCAGTTCTAAGCCAATCTTCTCTCTGATTGGTTTACAATCACTGTCCTCATCTTCAATACCTCCTTAAGCCCCGCATTCAACAGCACCCTCAGAACCAGCTGTGACATCACTCCCGCAGCCCTGAGCTTGGCGCCGATTGGACCCTCCCACCGATGATGCCCCTCCTACACCCCCCTCCGACACCCCTCTGAGCAGTACCGGGCGTAACTGCACCCCTCACACGGCACGGGGCTCACCATCTCCCCCAAACACCGATGACAAAGCCTCTCCTCCGTCCCAAACACTTCTCCTCTTCTCTCAGTCTCTCCATCCCTCCCTTTCCCTCCCTCCATCCATGGTATGAACACACAGTTGTAAGCCCTGTCCTCCACTATCAACCCCCCCCCCCGGACGTGATTCCTTCGGTGGCCACCAGGTGTCACCCTTTACCAGGGCTGAGGCAGACAGACCAGGGGAGAGACGACACAGGAGCACTCCCTTTCTGTTGCTGCTGGGAGTTTGGGGACTTTGTGCCCCTGGTACTGCTACACACACCCTCTGCATGGTCCCCTTCTCCCTGTTTGGGGGTGTTTAGCCCCTCTCCGTGGTTGGAGAGGTGGTTGAGGCACTGTATGTGTCTGTCCTGTAGTTTGTGTTGCAGGTGACTGGGGTAGCCATGCTTCAGGGCCGTGTGATGTCATGAGGAGAGGAAATAGTGGAGAAGCTCTGAAGTCATAGAATACAAACATGGATTTGTGTGTATTGTATTGTTAAAAACATGTATTTTTTTTCCATATATAGACATATCCTATGTGTTTGAATCAGATCAACTATATGCACTGAGCTTGTCTGATGCATTAAGCAAACTGTTTGAAATAATTAAGACACACAAATGACTAGAGGGAGTCCAACTTAATTGTGTCGCCTGGCTCAGACTTGCTAGTGACTGTGTGACTAGCACCCGCTGTCTCTCTCTCCTCCTTGCAGCAGCGACCACCACAAAACATCAGTGTGTATAGCGCTGTCCGTGTTGCTGAAGCTGCAACATAATTATTATTTCTGACTGAAAAGTTGTTACCAAAATCCCTCATTTGTTCAGGAAGGGGGAGAGAGAGAGAGACAGACAGACAGACAGACAGACAGACAGACAGACAGACAGACAGACAGACAGACAGACAGACAGACAGACAGACAGACAGACAGACAGACAGAGCAAGAGAGAGAGAGAAGGGGGAGAGAGACAGGGGCGGTGGTACCGGCCCCCTAAAATATGATTGGCTTAGGGACATACAAAGTAACAGTTGAAACAGTTATCCAATACAATGCTTCGTATTTTCAACGCTATTTGTGATACAATTTGCTGATTTCCCATAACCAACCTTACTGGTCCTTGGTCCCCCCCCCCCCCCATAGAAATATCGATAGAAACGCCCCTGACACACGCACACACACTACCTGTAAGTAGTCCAGGGCAGCAGCAGTGTAGTCCCTGGCTTTAAAGCTGGCGTTGCCCTTCTCCTTGCTTGTAGACGCTCCCTTGGGGTCCTTCTAGACAGGAGAATCCTTAGAAACGACAGACAGAATGTCAAGGTCCTCTTGGCTGAAAGACAGCAAATGAAAAAAGGCAGAGTAGCACTTGATTTTTTTCACTTCATTTGTATATTCATCATATCCATTCACTGCACATATGGGCATCCTGTGCCTACACTTGGTAAATAAACCATTCTGTATCTAACGACCTTCTTGCAGGCCTGCCTTCCTCGATTTTCGCTATTTTACACAAGTCCACGTTAAAATTGTAATTATTAATACATGAATAACTTCAAATTAGGGTTGATTCAAAGCACTACTGAACTAAAAGCATCATCCCCAGATAATGCATTTCAATACTGTTACGATCAAAACAACTCTGTCATTATGTCTCTTATGGAAAGTTTCGATTGTGTTGGATAGTGTCCACTAGCTCTGGTCCAGGGTGTTCATCCATTATCTGTAGCAGAGGAACACGTACTAACCCCCTGGACCAGAGCTGTGTCCACCAGAGAATTTGTAGTTAGTTATCGGATGTTATGCACAAGATTGACATCCTTCACCACCACTCAAAACATCGCACTGACATCGCACTGCATTACAGCTTGACTATGTCTGAATAGGTAGCTAGAGTACAGTATTACAATACGATGCATTTTGCATTGGTTACCTTGCCAGAACGATTATAGTGCTTTGGATATATCAGGACCACATTTCAGTTGCCAGTTAGCAGTTCGGTTAACTAGCTAGCCGTAGTTGGAGAGAAACCCGTGCGCTTCAGTGGTGTTGTCAGAAACTGTGTACGCTCGGAAGCCATCTTGGTTCAACGGACTGGCAAACTGGACGTACATTTGCATTTGAGGCTCAAAATCAGACCACAGTTTATCTTCTGCTGCACAATCCGGATGTGATGACGTCATCGACATTGAAAGACGGCTGTCTCACGGGTTCTGCAAGGGAAAGTTCACGTAGAAACCACGCAAGGCAAGAAAGAGCAATATTAACAAATGAGCTGTCAAATCGGACACGACTTCGACAAAAAAATGACAGTAAAACTCACCGAGGGTGCAATTGAGGCAAGTGACAACATTAAAATAACACTTGTAAACACATGACTTGTCGCTCACTGTGCTGTTTTAGTTGCAGGCTAACTTAGTGTAATAGCAATTTTTAGCAATCTGCAGTGCCAACAGTGGGCTATTGAGTATTTATACATGGTATAGGGCTCACTGCTCTAGAATGTAGTGAATTACAGGTAAATTCAAGAGGTTGCTACTAAATTAATGCCTAAACCTAGTTTTCTATAGCCTATGCCATTATGTGAATTACATAAATTGAATCATTAGATTGTTCTCTACAATATTACAACCTTAATATGCTTGTACTTAAAGCTACTTTTTTTGGGCACCCAACCAAATTCACATAGAAATGTGTGTTATAGATCTGTCATTCGCATTTAAAGCAAGTCTAAGAAGCAGTAAATATGTTATGTGGGCTATTTCTATGCTTCCCGTTCTTAAGTGTCTTTTACTTTCGGTTTTGTACACCAGCTTCAAACAACTAAAAATACAATATTTTTGGTTATGGAAAATATATTTCACAGCGATTTAGATGGTACAATGATTATCTACACTATACTTGCTGGGTTTTGTCACATAAACTGATATTAAGTGAACTATTAGCATTTTAGTAACCAGAAAACGGTGGAGTTAATTCTGCATAGTGCATATTTAACAGTGTTGATTAAATAAGAACGTTAGTTTGTTGTATCACTTCCATATTTCTGTGTTGGGAGGTGGTAACATTGGGAGGCGTTTCCACGCTTTGGACCAATCAAAATCTACTTGATACGTCATAATTTTCATCTTCAGATCTGTGGCTTTCTATTCCACAGTCAATCAATGTTGAGAGGGGGCGTTTCTATGGTAATTTAAAGGGGAAGACTCAGATATTCAAAATGAAAACTGTAACAGATTATATATTGAAATTCAGTCTGTTAGCTATGTTAATTAAACAAGTTTGGACACACCTACTCATCTTTATTTTTTACTATTTTCTACATTGTAGAATAATAGTGAAGACATCAAAACTATGAAATACTATGGAATCATGTAGTAACCAAAAAAGTGTTAAACAAATCAAAATATATTTTATATTCTTCAAAGTAGCTACCATTTGCCTTGATGACAGCTTTGCACACTCTTGGCATTCTCTCAACCAGCTTAATGAGGTAGTCACCAGGAATGCATTTCAATTAACAGGTGTGCCTTGTTAAAAGTAAATTTGTGGAATTTCTTTATTTCTTAATGCATTTGAGCCAATCAGTTGTGTTGTGACAAGGTAGGGGTGGTATACAGAAGATAGCCCTATTTGGTAAAAGACCAAGTCCATATTATGGCAAGTACAGCTCAAATAAGCAAAGAGAAACGACAGTCCATCATTACTTTAAGACATGAAGGTCAGTCAGTCCGGAAAATCTCAAGAACTTTGAAAGTTTCTTCAAGTGCAGTCGCAAATACCATCAAGCACTATGATGAAACTGGCTCTCATGAGGACTGCCACAGGAAAGGAAGACCCAGAGTTACCTTGCTGCAGAGGATAAGTTCATTAGAGTTAACTGCACCTCAGATTGCAGCTCAAATAAATGCTTCACAGAGTTCAAGTAACAGACACATCTCAACATCAACTGTTCAGAGGAGACTGTGTGAATCAGGCCTTCATGGTCGAATTGCTGCAATGAAACCACTACTAAAGGACACCAATAATAAGAAGAGACTTGCTTGGGCCAAGAAACATGAGCAATGGACATTAGACCGGTGGAAATCTGTCCTTTGGTCTGATGAGTCCAAATTTGAGATTTTTGGTTCCAACCGCCGTGTCTTTGTGAGACGCAGAGTAGGTGAACGGATTATCTCCGCATGTTTGGTTCCCACCGTGAAGCATGGAGGAGGAGGTGTGATGGTGTGGGGGTGCTTTGCTGGTGACACTGTCTGTGATTTATTTAGAATTCAACGCACACTTAACCAGCATGGCTACCACAGCATTCTGCAGCGATACGCCATCCCATCTGGTTTGGGCTTAGTGGGACTATCATTTGTTTTTGTATTTGTATTTGTATTAATTATGGCAGCAGCTACTCTTCCTGGGGTCCAGCAAAATTAAGGCAGTTATACATTTTAAAAACATTACAATACATTCATAACAGATTTCACAACATATTAAGTGTGTGCCCTCAGGCTTACTACCACATATCGATAACACAAAATCCATGTGTACTTGTTTGTATAGTGCGTATGTTATCGTGTGTTTGTATGCATGTGTCTACGTTTGTGTTGCTTCACAGTCAACGCTGTTCCATAAGGTGCATTTTTTAAATAACATTTTAAATAAAATTTTACTGCTGGCATGAGTTACTTGATGTGGAATAGAGTTCCATGTAGTCATGGCTCTGTGTAGTACTGTGCGCCTCCCATAGTCTGTTCTTGACTTGGGGACTGTGAAGAGACCTCTGGTGGCATGTCTTGTGGGGTATGCATGGGTGTCCGAGCTGTGTGCCAGTAGTTCAAACAGACAGCTAGGTGCATTCAACATGTCAATACCTCTCACAAATACAAGTAGTGATGAAGTCAATCTCTCCTCCACTTTGAGCCAGGAGAGATTGACATGCATATTATTCATGTTAGCTCTCTGTGTACAACCAAGGGCCAGCCGTGCTGGCCTGTTCTGAGCCAATTGCAATTTTCCTAAGTCCCTCTCTGTGGCACCTGACCACACGACTGAACAGTAGTCCAGGTGCAACAAAACTAGGGCCTGTAGGACCTGCCTTGTTGAAAGTGCTGTTATTAATGCAGAGCAGCGCATTATTATAGACAGACTTCTCCCCATCCTAGCTACGGTTGTATCAATATGTTTTGACCATGACAGTTTACAATCCAGGATTACTCCAACAATTTAGTCTCTTCAACTTGCTCAATTTCCACATTATTCATTACAAGATTTAGTTGAGGTTTAGGGTTTAGTAAATGATTTGTCCCAAATACAATGCTTTTAGTTTTTGAAATATTTAGGACTAACTTATTCCTTGCCACCCATTCTGAAACCAACTGCAGTTCTTTGTTAGGTGTTGCTGTCATTTCAGTCGCTGTGGTAGCTGACGTGTATAGTGTTGAGCCAGTGGCATGTCATTAGTAAAGATTGAAAAAAAGTAAGGGTTCTAGACAGCTGCCCTGGGGAATTCCTGATTCTACCTGGATTTTGTTGGAGAGGCTTCCATTAAAGAACACCCTCTGTGTTCTGTTAGACAGGTAACTCTCTATCCACAATATAGCAGGGGGTGTAAAGGCAAAACACATACGTTTTTCCAGCAACCGACAATGATTGATAATGTCAAAAGCCGATTTTGATCATCAATTTCTCGGACAATGCAAATAGTCCGGGTAGCCATTTGATTAGCTGTTAAGGAGTCTTATGGCTTGGGGGTAGAAGCTGTTAAGAAGCCTTTTGAACCTAGACTTAGCGCTCTGGTACCGCTTACCGTGCGGTAGCAGAGAGAACAGTCTATGTCTAGGGATGTACTTGGCCATACGCACTACCCTCTGTAGTGCCTTGCGGTCAGAGGCCAAGCAGTTGCCATACCAGGCAGTGATGCAACCAGTCAGGATGCTCTCGATGGTGCAGCTGTATAACTTTTTGAGGATCTGAGGACCCATGCCAAATCTTTTCAGTCTCCTGAGGGGGAATAGGCTTTGTCGTGCCCTCTTCACGACTGTCTTGGTGTGTTTGGACCATGATAGTTTGTTGGTGATGTGGACACCAAGGAACTTGAAGCTATCAACCTTCTCCACCACTACAGCATTGTCGATGAGAATGGGGGCGTGCTCGGTCCTCTTCTTTTTCCTGTAGTCCACAATCATCTCCTTTGTCTTGATCACGTTGAGGGAGAGGTTGTTATCCTGGCACCACACGGCCAGGTCTCTGACCTCCTCCCTATAGGCTGTCTCATCGTTGTCGGTGATCAG